TGAAACGTCTGGTGAACCATAACTTTTCACACAAGGTGAACTTAATGATTTGGTGAGAAATCTGGGCCTTCCAAAGGGTTGTTCAGGTATTTTGGGGTCCAGACTTCGGGCTAAGAACTTATTTGTTTCCAGGAACATCATTTTACTGGTACAGAAATCGTAAGAAAGAGTTTATACCATAGTTTTCGCAAGATTCATCCAAAACAAGTCAAAAAGGTGTTCTCCTTCATATATATGCATCTGTTACTATTCCTCATTCGAAAATCTCGAACTTCTTCTTAATAAGGTTAAATACAAAGAACGTGGTTGGGTACTTTGTGGCGACTGAAAAACCTTTTGTCTATTGTTGAGTCAACAATCCGGTTATACAAAACTTCATATAAATATTATTATATTTATTAACATGGTGAAAACCTTTAATCCCATCTCATGGGTAGGCTAATGTGCACACGTCACCACATTTTACTAGTTACATTAAATATTGAATTAATCTAATATGTTATCAGTGTAAAGGACTAACACTGTAATGCATGAATCTCCATATCCTTAGGATCAACTTTAAAGTAAAGTATTACGTCTACTATTGAAAGCTCCAACCACCCTCTAATTGATATACCTGGAGGTATTTTCGACATTTTTATTTTCAATGGAATCGGACTTTTGTAAAGAAAGAAGAACATATTTTTAATTTTATATACATAAAATAATGGGATGCAATGTTCCCATCATTTCTAAATAAATATATGTCAACTTCAAGTGGTTTAACTACTATTCATTTGTTTATCAGGTGCTGTTTCACGAAAAAAAAATATGGTGGTCAATTTAGAATATATATTTAATATAATTTAAAATAAATAAGAACTTTTCTTTATACAAATAATATTTTTTTCTATTTACTATCATGGCCAGGTGGTTAGGACACTAGACTCCCAATTTGAGGGTCGCGGGTTTAAATCCCCGTCCTACCAAACATACTCGCCCTTTTAGCCATAGGGCGTTATAATGTTATGATCAATCCCACTATTCATTGGTAAAAGAGTAGCCCAAGAGTTGTCAGTGTGAGGTGATGACTAGCTGTCTTCCATCTAGTCTTTCACTGCTAAATTAGGGACAGCTAGAGCAGATAGCCCTCATGTAGTTTTGTGCAAAATTCAAAACAAACAAAACTTAACACCTGTCTCTTTTTTGCATCAAACTATATATTAAGATGATTTTTTTGCTTCAGATCCATAGTGAGGTTGAGCTTAGTAGCTGTGTGAGCATGTGTGTTACCATATTTCAAAGACTAGGATCCTTTTGGTGTCCTTCCTATTAATTGTCGATGATCAGTGGTCTGTCGTAATTGTATGTAAACACAGTGAGTTGTGGTGGAGGTGGAAAGCATGGGTTTGTTTATTTATTATGAATTTTGTGCAAAGCTACATGAGGGCAATCTTTTCTCACCATCCCTAATTTAGCAGTGAAAGACAACAGGAAAGGCAGCTAGTCATCACTGCCAACCTTTGGGCTACTCTTTTACCAATGAATAGTGGGATTGACCATCACATTATAATGTCCCCACGACTAAAAGGGTGAACATGTTCATATTAAAAAATACAAAAAATGTCTTTTATATTAGAGAAATAAAATGTGAATGAAATAAAAAAGCACAAATAATCTAACTTTAATTTACTCTTACATATTAATTAAAGCAAATTGTTAATGAGATGTGACCTCCAAAATAAGAACGAAATAGCTAGAAATAAAAAAAGCTCAAACATTATTTACAATGATATTAGAAATACTATAATAAAATATTACCCCAGTGAGTCAGTGGTATATTTGAGGCTTATAATGTTAAAAAGTGGATTTCTATACTTGGGATAGGTACAGCACAGATAGTTCATTGTGTAGCTTTGTGCTTAATAATAAACAAACAAAAAATATTTTTCAAATGCCTATTTCAGTTTACTGTTTATTTATTTGAATATTATGACAGAACCGAATATGCACGGTTTTCTCCTAAGAGTGATCAAGAATAACATTAAATCCTACAAAGAATGCAACATTAAGTAAAACATCTTTCCCGAAGAAGAATGCACAAGTGATAACTTAGGTAAATGATCTAGAACAATAATTAACTTAGGCGAAAGAAACTTAACTACTTTTATGACCGACTTTTTGTATTGCAATCACATACACCTGCATAAATGAAAAGTTGAAAAACTTCTATATTAAATAATGGGGTCGCAAGTACATGTTATACCTGCATACCACATCACTAACTCCAACAATAAAGGAATATAATTAAATACAAACAAAAATGTATTTGGTCTCTATATATCAAAGAGTTAATTCTTCAATACGTTTTCATATTTAAACTTGGTTTCAAAAATAATAAGAAACGTGTATTGTTATGTGAAAGTTTTTCATTTTGCTGTGACTTTGAATTTAATAAAGGATATACATATATAACACATGTCCAGACAGAGTATTTATTTTTACCCATAGAGAGCGTCTTACGAGTGCAAGTATACTGGTAGTTTTAATTTATAACCAACCGTTAGGAGGGCTATCCTAGGCCAATTCGATAGATTAGGATATATTGTTTAAACTTCTTGTAATTTTGATTTAGATCACACGCTGTGAATATTTTGTGGAGTTTGAATTTAAGAACAGAATAAAAAATGAATCCACAATACCAGGATATAGCAGCTGCATTTGTACAGTCATATTACCTACATTTTGACGATAATGAAAAGCGCCAGACCATGGCTAGTTTTTACGATGTAAGTAGCGTTAGCTTTATTTGGTCATCAGTACAATAGTAATGGTAAGCTAGGCCTAAGTATTTATAATTAATGTTAAATAGTAAGGAGTCCGGTGTTGCCCATCTCTGTTGACAGTGTTATGTTAAGACTTAGAAGCGAAAGTAAATGGTTATTAACAGTGTTAAGAACAAAGCGAGAACCAGTGACCCACACATTCTTTGAATTTGAGTCTTTTGACCTTGTGGTAGAATTTGTTTTATTGAAAATACAATGTTATTATGACTATTTTTAGTGTAAAACTAAGAATTGTTGTAGAAACTAGAAGAAGTACATAATTTATTTTATATAAAAGTTATGAATGTAGAATATCTACACAGTAAATTAGTAAGGAACTGTGGAATAATCATTGTGTATTTAACTAGAGTGTAGCAAGTGTTCACATATGATTGTGCATATAATAAGTTGGCTAGAAACACCGATGGTCACTGAGACAAAGAATGTGCCATATAATAGTTACACAGTGTTGGTGAATGTCTTGGAAAGTAAAGTTCAAGCATATCGGTTAAAACTCCTACCAACATATTACTTGGCTTCTTTCGAGTTTCATGATCAAATTTCATAATGGGTAAGAACTTTAGTATCTGCAACATTCTTAAGCTTTTTCAAAACACCATTTCCTTTGACAGAAATATCTCCCCTTGAAGTGTCTTAAACAGCATAGGACGTTCATTATCATCTTTTGTAGAAACTAGCAACGTTGTTTAACAGTGAACTATGTATTCTACTTCAACATAAACAGAAAAAAACTTTTAAATCCTTTTCAAACTTCCTTGTAGCTTCAAATGGTTTTCTTAACCTATTTTTGTTGAATTTCATACTCTCTTTCTCTCTCTCTCACATATTCCATTTTAATAATCTCAGAAACTCTACATTTTTTAACAATTACCATTTTGCTGAACCATTTTGGATTTTGTCTATAGTTTTAATGTAATCATTTATAAGGACTTCAATATTTTCAGCAAAATTAATAGATCTACTAAGAAAACCCCAAGTATCACTCATCATACTGTTACTTTTTTTAGTTGGTTGCTCAACCAATTTCTATACTCAAAGCAATTGTTTTTAAAATCAGGAGCATATCCCTTATTTTATCTGCATCTCAATTCAAACCTAAAATGTTATGAATATTAATAAGCAATCTGCATAGGTTGATGTTTCATAACTATGTACTGTGCAGGTTGTTGGTTTTAAATTATTTGATTTAATGATGATCTGATGCTGAGGAGAGTTTATACTTGAATAGAATATTGTTTTGACTAAAATGGATCTTGATAAGTATTGTAAGTGGTAGAGAATGAAAAAAAAAAAAAGGAAGCCTTATTGAAATATACTTAGTGTTGCTTTTAGGATATTGAAAACTAAGAACGGACTCTTGGAAGAAGAGTGGAGAGGGAGAAGGATCTGGATGTTATTTTTGAGAAATGTTTAAAGCCCGTGAAAAATTCTGGTTGTTTTAATTTTATTAAAAGATTTGTCACTTTGAATAGTACTCAATCTTGAGTCCTGGTGTTACTTTTGGTTTAATTCAGGTATTTAAAATTACTAGAGTAATTCGAATGGTTTCTTAGTCCCTGTATTTATATTTCTGTGTTCAGTTAAACTGCATATTTGATGATGACAAAATCTTCTCCAAACATTGTAATAAAGTTTTCTCTGTTATCTCTTCAACCCATATTCTAAACTGTATAAGCTTACTATATCTTAACTCATCTGATGTCTTCTCATCGAAGTAAATTTCTGTAGCTTTCAAACACACATAATTTATCACACAAATACATTTACAATTCACAAATGAAAGGAACAAGTACAGAAACTATAAAAGAACTTACTTGTATATTTACTCTATTAATATGTAATAGTCTAATTCTTTCTTTATCCAATCATATTTAAACTTCCTTTATAGCCATTTTCAAAGCTGTGTTTAATGAGTAAATAATCAAACCACTTGATGTGGTACCATAAACTTTCAACCGAGGCCTGTACTAAAATAAAACTAAAGGAAACACTTAAAAATCAGAGAAACTGGGAATATATTCTCAAGGTGTGGTAGGTTCTCAAACCACTTGATGTGGTACCATAAACTTTCAACCGAGGCCTGTACTAAAATAAAACTAAAGGAAACACTTAAAAATCAAAGAAACCGGGAATATGTTCTCTAGGTGTGATAGGTTCTGAGACAAAGTAGTTATTCTTAGGTATGGGCAGGAAAATTCTGAAAAACAACTTGATAAGTGAGCTGTTTTGTTTGCAGCCATGGAGAAAAGAAAATCTGTACTTTTTTTTCTTCGTGAATTACACTAAGTAAATGTCAGAAAATGACAAAATGCTGATATTAAAATTGTTGAAATATAGTTAGAATTAACACATGTACTTGAATTTACAATTGGTGTCAAAAACTTTTGTCGAGTGGTGAAGAAGTACGAAACATCAGGGAAACTTTGTCTTCAGACTTGAAGCGCAATAATATATTTTAAGTTACCTTTTTAAATGTCCAGAGGTACAGCTTTTCAGTGAATTATTTATATCTATTTTTTGTTTATCCATATTTCGACCACTTATGGCCACACAAGTTGTCAAAACGTGTAATAAAGTTAAACAAAAAAATAATCCACCTATGGACTTTTATCTAAAGTACCTAGTGAATGTCTTTTCACAGCTTTTTTAATTATAAATTTTTACATGAAAGTGTATCGTATATTCAAACACAACTGCATTCTTTAACATTTAGAAACGAAAGATGTATTTACTTTTCACTCACTTGTAAAAGTAACGTGTACACTTTTCCAGACCATTCAATAGTACATGTTCATAGGGTATTATCAAAAATCTTGGAGCCTTAAGTGTGTCTGTAACAACACAGATACTCAAAATGCTTTGTAACCAACCAGGGGAAATGAATAATCATAGCTTGTTCTACTTATTAGGTAAATATACTTAGCCATAGTAAAAACTTAGTATTTTTGATATTCTTCGGGAAGCTTAAATTTATGGTCAAACAACTTAAAGAAATAGAATAACATCAGTTTATTTTAATTTTATAAAATAAAACTTTTGATAATTATAACTATCTTATAAAGTTTTTAAACTGTTCGGAAATAAATGAAACTAGAAACTTTTTTTTTCACATAATAAGAGTACAAGTATGTTAACAAGTAATAACAGTGTTTTAACTTTTCCACGTTAGCTGAAGTAATGTTTCACTTTTTAACAATGGTGTGATACCAGTTAACTTTTTAAAAGTTAGCTATGCAACACTATGGCTATATTTTTTAGTGCTTTTAAACGTAAGATGACTTCTAATGAGGTAATATAGTATTTGAGATTAATCAGTTGTGACCATATAACCCTAAAGTATTCTAAATCAATAAAACAAAGTTAAAATAACTTTAATATATTTTGTAAATGGTTAGTTCAGTTAGGTTGTAGTCCAGTAAATTTAAAGCTTATACGATTGACAGGGTTCCACCACCCCCCATCCTCTAGGTCCATGCTCGCTTAAACAATAATAAAGAATACAATTATTTTCCAAAAAAATTAAGGTGTTCGACCCCCCCCCCCCTAACCTATATGGTTTTTCTCTTCCTGATTACAATATTTTGTGAATTTTTTTTTGTATGTGTAAATTTTGTGTGTAACGAAATTACAAATTGTTTATTTCAGGAAGAAACATCACTTATGTCGTTTGAAGGCCAGAATCTGCTGGGAAGAAAGAAAATAATGGAGAAACTTAGTGTAATATATTTCACAACTTTAATTACACTATGATAAATGTTTTCATATATGTTTTAAGGCTGTAACGAAGGATAGGTTTTGACAATTTAGAACACACATACAAACAATGGTTCAAACCTTCTATAGTACTAATTTACTAATGGCATCGCCATAATATTAGTTTATATTTGATTGAAAACTCTTTATTTTACGCGCAATACATGTAAATAGATATAAACAACATTTACACTTATTTTAAAAATGTTATCTAGAACAGTTATTATATATATATCTGTATTTTATATAAAAATAAAACATTTATGTTGGTTAGCTACACTGTAAGTTTGCATTGCAAGAGCTTGCTATTGTGGTTAGTTAAAAGACCTACATCTGACTTAAACAAAAAAAAAAACCTTCATTTAACAGACACCATTTGAAGCAGGGTAACCGTCCTTGTCTTTTTAACATAAATTTTTTAATTAATTAAACATATTAATAAATTATAAGCGGTAGCATATATTTTATGCTTCATACTTATTCTACTATTCTGTATTTTACACTAGGCATTCAGCACATTGTATTGAAGCAGTGTTTCCACTAACCTTGCCTCCCTCTGCTTGTCATAATTGTCTGCTCCGGTCTCCTTTTGGTGCACAAAAGAAGACGGTACATACAATGTTTTGGTGGTGGCGTTAATTGTCTGCTCCGGTGCACAAAAGAAGACGGTACATACAATGTTTTGGTGGTGGCGTTAATTGTCTGCTCCGGTGCACAAAAGGAGACGGTACATACAATGTTTTGGTGGTGGCGTTA